GCATGACAGTTCTAGACCAATGAGATCTCCCCGCAGTACAGGACACAATATCACAAAACTGCTAAAATGAGGCTTTCAGAAATGGCATTTATTCCTTTTGGCATTCATCCCAATATTTCTTATTCCTGATCGTCTCTCCATCCTCCCAAAGGTCTCCAAGAGACACACATTAACAGCCCACTTGTGACTTTCCAATTCCTGGCACGTTCCAAGCCCAGACCAGGCCACTACATTTTTCTCACTAATGACGTGACGGCCAGGCAAATGGGGCAAGGGGGGGGAGACTCTCAAATTGATAGCGGAACATCAGGCAGCAACTGAGTGTCAATACTAATGCTAACCTCTCTCATCTTTTTTTTGTTCAGAACAGCTGACCACAAGGGGAAAAAGGAAGAAGACACAGTTTGAGTCCTGTTGAGGTCTGCAGACTTTTCCCTACAGTCTACAACTGAATAACTGGAGTTTTAAAAGCAAATTTCCAAAAGCAGATAATCTGTCTTGTTTACAATAACATGACAGTTTTAGTTCCTGGTTTTGCATACAGAAACATGAGTTTTTTAATTCCCCATTCCTACTGCCTGAATTTTAATTTTCAATAAAAATTACACTGGCCCATAAAGCTACGATGTCATTCAATACACACTGTATATTATTCATTTAGGGTCTTTCATTCACTAGCATAGATCAAAAATTCAAGCATTTCTTTTTCCGAGGGGGGGGTGTAATCAAGAAAAATGCTCAAAGGCATACTCTGCTTTGAAACTGACAGTATCTCAAGATTCACTGTCATCCATCAGCTTGGTTTCAAGGGTAGGCAAGGCCTGGTGCCCCAGGGTCCTGTGAAAGTCACTTATTTTACCATGCTACCCAACATCACAGGAATACCAAGTCAGCCAGGACCATTGTTTCCCCTATTAAATCAGTACTGGGTTCACTTCCCTAGATGCAAAGAGCACGAATATTGATGCAAAGACCTCCAAGATAAGACTGCCGTGATTGGAAAACTTAGAGGAAAATAACCCCACAAATTTCGGGGCATGAATTATCCTAGAATGTTCTCCCCTGACTGTGGTAAAGCTATGGAGAATTTTACAACTCAAATGTTGGTAAGCCGAGGCAGAGAGAAGTAGCAGTTAACTGATTGGTCGAGCAGTCGAACAAGCTCTTTTTCTGAGGAAAGCTGTGGACTACGAACTTAACACCGGCCATGTTTTCCTATTCTCCTAATCCTTTGGAATCCCTCAAAAATCACCAGGATAACTTTTCGAGGATTTGAGAGGATTCTTCAGGATGGCACAGCTACGAAACTATTACTTTACACAGGGGTTTTATACCTCTTAAATGCAGGGCACCAGCAATGTGCCATAGATCTCCTGCACGGAGGGAATTTTGAAGGATATAGGACATTATCTGGCAAAAATGCCAAGAGAGTCGGGATTCAGGTTTAGTCGAGATTGAGATATCCAGTCTGATGAAAGTGGGACTGATTTGAGAAATAAACTTGTTTCGTTTGTGCTTGCTTTCTGTTTGCAAGCTTGTTTCCGAAATAGCAAAAATAATGTTCATGAAAAGAATTTCCTATAGATAGTAGTTTTCCTTTTATCATTTTATCACCTAAACACTGATATAAGATTGGACTGCAAATTAAACACAGCTGTTCCATGAAATGTTTCTTTTCAAAGCAAAAGAGAACCGAAACAACTCAACTGCAAAAAAAAATGAATGACTTTGGCAAGGCACCCAGACTGGTCAGGGAACTCGAATAAAAAAAATTTAATGGGGGAACACATGAAAGCTAGGGGAAATACTAGTGGCAGAGGAGGGGGACCCACTTTGAAAACTGTTTTGCTGTCGTTGAGGGGGGAAATGCCAAATCACTTCTCTGAGCCTTGGATGACACTACGTTGATACACTCTACTTTAATTCCTTGGTTTCTGAGTTGCCCTCGGGGCTACGTGAAATAAACAGAGAGTGAACAGAGAGTCAAGTTCATCGGTGATCATGTTGGCAAGAGGGCTCCGAGAAGTCACTATGCCCAGGAAACAAATAGATGGTTTTGGATTTAGGCCTGGCTTTTTGACTCTTCCCCTTTGGGCAATTTCCCCAGAAAGCTTTCTGATCCTTAAAATCCCAAACTGTTCAGAAAACCAATGACACACTGTTTAAGTGCATGTACAAAGTAAACTTGGAGGGCACTAAGTCCCTCATAAAACAACTGTGACTAAATTGTATCCAGTTAACAAAATGCAAATTCAAGGTGCTGAATTTTGGAGGACTCAGAGTAGCTACCGTAGATTTCAGGTTGCACACAGGCCTTATATGTGCACAAGAAACAAATAACAGGCTGGGAGCCAATCTTCATGCCTGAGGAAGCTGAGAATTTCCCAATCTATTTCAACAAATTTGGCCAGGATAAAACCCTCTTGAAAAACACCCTGTCTCTTTGATTCTCAGCCGTACAAACTCCTTCAGCTACTTCCGGATAAACATCCAGCACAACAAAATCAGGTTTCTGTTGCCATGGCAATGTTTGTGTCACCAGCTACAAAACAACCTCCTCTTTCTGGAGTGTTGTTCCCTTGCCTGTCTATCCCCAACCCACCTTTTTTTTTTGGTCATCAACATAGGCAGGCCAGCATCAATCGTTGTATCTGGAGATATTGGGTTTCAGGACTCCCCTGATAAATGATAGATCAGTCTTCAAGGGATTCCCATTTGGACTTGGTCCACTTCCAGATTTGATGGTTACCCTGAGCAAACTTCAACTAAGCAGGGATGTCATGCAAGCTTTCTGTATTCATTAATTTAAAACAAATTTTGCCTGTATGTTCACCTACCTAATTCTCGTAAGATTTTTTTTACGTGAAGATTAGCTTTGACAGGTCTAGAACCTTACAACCTCTATGCATGTGTGTACTGAGTGATCCACATTACCGGGGACTACCCTAGGAGCCCAAATGGCAATGTTAAAACTGCCACAGGAAACTTGGAGTGGAGCCAAAAGCTAAAGTAATTTAATCCACTGATACAGCCTGTCATACAATATTTCCAGGGCCATTTTCAGTTTCCTTGTGAGCCCACCCAACCTATCACTGGTGGACAAATCAACACCATATGTACATCAAAGAGCAGGGATCTACACAAAGAGCAGGTATCTACACAGTGGCTCTAAACTGGCTGGATTTTCCCAGGGTAACATCCTTTTCATATTTTTGGCATTCTGAGTTAAAATCCGAATTCTGATAAATAATCAAACAAAACAAAAAGTCACCAAAACAAAACTCAGGGGAACAACGTCGTGCAGTGTTACACATCCCTACACATGCATATCCAGATAACAAATATAAAAAGCCCGCACTATGCGTATATCATTTACAATGAGTCAACAATGTAATAGATCTACAATGCACGAGTGATCAATCTCTTTGCCCAGATATGAATAAAGGATAAATGAAGTAAGAAGAGTGTCAAAAATTAAAATTCATTTTGAAGCAACAGACAGCATGAGCCAACAGAAACATGGCCCATACACGCATCAAACATGGTGTACAATAGTACAGGTGCACGTGGACAGAGATATATAAAAATATGTTACAATGTACATGTACAACTGCTACAAAACATCTTAATCTTGTCACAAAAGGACGACTGAGGACCTGTCATTGTGTAATTGTAATGCTGTTGTACATTTAACACAGTTAGAACTAAGGCGGACACTTTGTCAATGAAAAAAACCAATTATCCATTACATCTGAATTTTTATGGTAGACACTACATGTACAACAAAGCCTTATGGTGTATAGATTAAACTGTACATGTATATTCTGGGTGCGGACAAACTTGATCTTGTACTGTGTACATGTACACATGTACCAGCAATTTTTTCTTGCGTAAATTTTCCTGGAGCTCTCACAACAATACTGGCTGTGCTGAGTTTACAGCTTAATTGCATAGATCAAAGTAAAACATTCCTTAAAAATGACCTTAAAATTTTTATCCGGGAAAAAAGGTCGCACTTTAAACACCACTGACCAGCTTTAATTTCCAATAGCTGTCTCACCACAAATACATGTACATTTTCTTTAAGCTGTAGGTGAGAAAAAAATAATAAAAACTTGCCGATGCAAGTTTTAAAAAAAAAAAGGAAAAATTGGATGCGCTATAAAACTGCAACAGACCCAACATTACCTTTCCATTTGCACATTAAACATGTACAGTGTACTTTAGTGTCTCGGAGAGAAACCAGGATGAATCCAACCAAAATCTCAGGCTGGATATCGTCTAAACACATCTTCAGAGTCTTACAGCCAGCATGTTGTTGTGCGCAAGACCTCTGACCCTACATGTAGGCCAACTCATTCACATGTCCTCACACACAACAACAGGTATCAGGCTGTTCAGACTTGAGAAGGAGAACCGAACAACAGACTGCCTGGCAACCAATAAGATTTCAGAAGCTTGAAGAGGTTGCTGCCTGCCTGTCCTCACAGAGATGATTTGAGGAGAGGGCTTTGGTTTAGTTGGAATATGCCCTTCATGAAAATGTGATAAAAGCTGCTTCATGTCAACTCACACTTGTCCATTTGCACAGGTATCTTCAATAACGTTCTGGCTAAACCTGCTCATCAGTAAGTCTGAGTAGACCTTTTCACTAATAAATTCATAATTATGGGCGCATGTGCACAAATGGCCTTGTCGGCAAGAAGTGTGAGCAGGCCATTGAAAACGTACATGTGATTTTGATAATTTTCTCTGAGGTTTTCTGGCTTTGTTCACGATTTTCTTTGGAAAATCCCATTAAATCGTTTTTGCTACAAAACAGCACAAAAGGAGACCGGCTTAGATACGGCGATCTTGTGCACACAGGAAAAATCATGATTGTAAAGTCTTTCTACGAAGCACTAAGTAGCGTGCTTAGATTAGGAACTAATAGCAAAAACGATTTAATGGGATTTTCTGAAGAAAAAAAACTGAACTAAGCCAGAAAACCTGAGAGAAATTAATCAAAATTGCACCCCTGTACATTTTCAATGTCCTGCTCACATTTCTTGCTGCCAAGGCCATTTGTGCGCATGCATGCGCAATTACGAGTTTATTAGTGAAAGGGTCTATTGTCATAGAGCCCTAACGTATCTTCAATATGACCACAAATTGTCTTGTTCTGACAATTATGTGAAATACGGGCTGTTTCATTAAGGCGTGTCACAATCTAACTTTTAGTATGCGTCTGTCACCTTCATTTATGGTGCAGTTCAAAATACTGCAAAGGGTCTACAGTTTATGTCAATGACTGTTTAGCATGGGCCATATGTGGATGAGGCACTGGAAGAGATAACGCAGTATCGCGGAAGCTGCATCCGGTGGGATACCTATACTGAGCCTGGCTGGGCGGTCTCTCCAACAGCATTCACTGATACGTCTGTGTGCGCCAGAATAGGCACCATATCAGGAACACTGAAGGTTCCACACCGAAGATGAGCATCCGTTCACAGGAACTGGACCCTGGACTGTGATCATGTGAAGGCATGAGAGCATGCATCCAACCACAGAAGTGGAACGCAGCAAACATGATATGGTCCATTTACGTGTAGTGTTCACGTTTACATAATGCTGCTGTCCTATACTCCTGAATGATTGCGATATCTTGCTTTTGGTAGGGTGGGGCAGGGCAGAATCAAACCCCGTCCTCCCAATGCCACTGGCGGGATCATGTGCATCTGAGTGTTTGTCTCAAAGCATGCCTTACAACAATAACCTGAATTTGGTATTGCTGGAATGCAGGTTATTTCACTAAGGGGATGTTTGTATTCAGACAATTCTCAAAGATCCTAGCCCAGGTGATACGCTTACATCATGTAAATGTTTAGGCGAAGTAAATTTCTCATGAAAGTGGAAACATCAGGGCAGAAGCTATGCTTCTTGTTCTCATGAAATTTGCCTTCCCTTTCCTTCTTTTGCCCTCAGTGTGTAGCATGCACATGTTAGCATTTAAAATACCAGTACTTGACTTATATCGAGATTTCACAACCCTTCTCATGATATTTCTCAGGTTCACCTGTGTACAATTTGCAGCCATTTTGAGGGGCTAGTGGGGTACATGTGCATACACTGACAGCCATGCCAGTGGTTGGCTTGACATCACATGAAAGTCGTCTAAAGTAGATACAGCTATACGATGACCAGGGGACAGTGCTCATTTTTAGGCCAAGTCAGTTTACACAAGAGTTTCTGTTAAACATAAAACTTCCCCGAAAATAACTGAGACCAAAGAGGCTGAGTTACGACCAAATTCAAATCACTTAAACTAACTGATGAAATTTTCGGTAACTACAGGGATGGTTACACAGAAGCTCTTTGTCAATGGGTTCATGTGAGTGAGTATACACATGTGTATACAACCTAAAGGAATGGTTCAACAAACATTACAGGCAAGCAAGTTCCCCCAAGAAATTTTGATTAAAAAAAAAATCAGATGTGGCCGCCCTCTAGAAGTTTATTGAGCCCCACCACTATTTTGTCTAAGTGGCATTTCAGGGGCGTGTCTTCAGTAAAGACCGTTTCCATGAAGGCACTGTTCGAGAAAAACTTGAAGACGTGGTCGATGCGGCCCACCGACTTGTCCCGCAGGTGGTGCTCCACCAGTTGGGTCAGCATCTGGGCACAGCTGTCCAGGAGCTCCGTCAGGTAGGCCTTGTCATAGCTGAAGGCCACCTCATGGAAGCTGACCACCGTCATGACCAGGGTGCGGAACTTCTTGCGGAAGGCCTCGGCCAGCGCCAGCTCCTCAGGGCTGAACTGGTCATTGCGATAGAGGATGCCGATCTTGATGGTGACCTTGATGATGTTCTTGATGACCTTGTCAGCATCCTTCTTGTTGCCCGTGTACTGCTTGAGCATGGCTGACAGGTTATCCAGCACCCCAGCCAGCGTGTCATCGATGAAGAGGTTGGCCACTCGCTTGGTGGACATCTTGCTGGCAATTTTCTTCTCCATACGCAGTGCCAGGTTCTTGGAGCTAACGTGGGACTCTGCCTCAGCCACTGTGGGAAAACCACACAAACAAAACTCACCATTAACTTGAGCTTCAAGTCGGTATGCTACGAGCGAACTTTTCTAAGGGGAGACGAAATTAGGAGATTAAGAGAAATCGACAAAACATCCATCAGAAGAGCTGCAATAACAACACAGGAAACTGCTCTGATTTTTGGTTTCTTTAAGTCAACAAAGCTTAAGTTGTCTCGAATACAGCTATAGTTATGAATCTTACACTCTGTTTTCTGTAAAAAGTGCCAAAAATGACTAAAACCTGAACAACTAAATATAAAAAAAAAAATCCACAATGTTTGAGTAAAAACTCCAGAAATCTGAAAAAAAAATAAAAAGTCACAAACCCAATTAGATGCACAAAACTGATTAAACCAAACCCTCCCAGGTGGTTTTTTAAATAGGAGAAGGAATTGGGGATTTTACGGAAATCGGGAAGACAGGACCAAGCATCTACATGTATTACTTGATACGGGACTCCAAGAAGCTCCTTAAAAGCTTTAAGTACAAAAATATGCCACCATGTTTGGGCAGAACTGTAGACCTGGGGCAGGAAGGGGGATTCAGGAAGGTTCCTGGTAGAAAAGACCACCAAATTCTCCTCCATCTGTGCGCTAACATCCTTACCATTTCACAAATATTTACAACAAAGTTAGTGCTTCACTGTATAAACTGAATTATACACTGTAGGTACATGTACAGTGTAACTTGATCCATGTTTGTATCATTTCTCCCAGGGGAAATTCATGAAAATTCGGAAAATATCTGGAACCGGTATTTAAAAATACCAAACACAGATCAAACAATACAATGTAAACACTACAGTTCAGTACTTTCCTGATTTTATCCTCCCTCAATAGCATGAGTACCTCTCCTGCACACGACTATCCTATATATTTAAATTAGTGCTGCCTCAATGGCATCCAGAACGGACACTTTACTCTTGATCCACAAAGGCGGCACGGATGCTCATTGACAGACCCACACGTCACAATTCATTCAGGTCCCATACATGACAACGCATCCCTACCACTACAATGAACCCCCGTCTCATCTCTCATCATCCCCTCAAGACACATATGGTGTAATGTGTCTTTCAGAAAAGGAAACCTTACAAATGAATAACAGAACCAACCATTTCGGATGAGCACGATGAGTACTGTAAACACCGGTAATTTCGGGACAGAACTGCCCGTATGTACGCATCATGCATCGATAGAGCACTCGCTTTAAAAAAGCAATCAATCAATCCATTAACATAAACAGCAAACACTTAATTCCCTTTACCAGATGTTCAAGCGATAAGTAATGCTTGTTATTTCCACTTGCATTTATGACCACATAGTGGCCTTTTAGCATCAATGAATACCAGTATAAAGTAAATACTGGGTGAATAAATAAAATAAACAACAAGTTGTAAATAAAAAGGTACTGACATATGACAACCCCGGAACAATATTCCCAAAAGCTTAGGTCACAAGTACACGTGTACATCAGAAGCTTTGATGTCTCCACAGTTCACCCCATACGGAATTGGTGTAGCATTGATTTAACTTTCAGTGACCAGGCAAGGCAGAAACTGAACTGATGCCTAAGCCAATCATAGAACTTAAAGAGAAGAAAAGAAATAAACAGGTCAAATCTTGCAGGACAATTTTACGATGAGATTCTGCAGTTGCATTTCTACATATATTTCTCTGTTCCCAATTACCCCGGATCCTTTCAGCTGTGTAACTGTGCCTCTGTGTATCTAATGTACATTCCAGAAGAAGTTTATGATGCCGGGCCCTGATTTGACAATACAGACTTTTGTTCGACAAGGCCCGTCTCTCTACTACAAATAAATAAACCCTAATGACATTACCGCACACACACACACACAAAAAAAAAATAAAAAATAAAGTTGTGGGGACTCTGAGAGATTATTGCCTATACTAATTATTATTTTTTGTCTTGCGTTCTTCCATCCTTCAGTCATGCTCCCTTCCACCCAACTCAACTCAATCCGTTCTGAGTAACTTCCTAGATCTTAAAAATTCTTGTAAAGACTGTAAATTTTTCATGCCTGTCTAATTTGAGTGAGAAGGGGGCATGGCTTGTACTTGAGTGGCAGAGTGAATGATTACCAAGTCAGGCGGTATGCCCTCTGGGATCAAATCAAAATCTCGAGGCTGTTTTTATGAAAAACAGTCAGACTACTGGTTTCAACTGTGTCAAGAGTCCTTCCCACAGTATTCGTCTTTTTTTTACAGCTTCTTTTCTTGGTTTTCCCTCATAAAATACAAATGAGTTTGAATGCATTCATTACAGGCTTCTTGAGACATCATTAATGCCCCTTCATCCCAAGCGACAGGTAACTAGCACTGTCACCCTGATTAGTCTCCTATCCTTGGCAGCAAATAAGAAGGAAGAAAAAAGTCATTCCCTTATTGTAAGATCTCCATAGCAACAGGGTTCCCTGCGTCGAAATAAAACCACCAGGCACAAGGAGGAAACTGTGTACTCTGAAGATTTGTTAGGTTCTTTCTGATTCCTGTTTCAATCACAAACATAGAGTGACTGGGCCAACATATCAATCTGTTGACATAAAAGAGTTTTGATGCAGGAATCTATTTTAATGCAGGAATGTATTTGAATGCAAACTTGCACCAGTAATGTGAAACGACCCTCATCTATTTGAGACCTTGCCTGCCCCCCCCTGTCATTCTGGTTATGAGTACTGATGGAGGCAGGAACATAGCAGCTGGCCCAGCCTGTCTGTTGTTCAGGGGGGGGGGAAAATTGTGCATAGACCTTGTACATGTATATATCCCACCCCCCATTCTTTTTTCACTGAGAAGTTTCTGTAACGCTTTATTTCAACCCTGCGCAGTAACTCAACACATCTTATTTTGTCACAAACAAAATCCGGGATGCCAAGCCCTGAGCTAAAGCTGTGTCCACTATGGCCATGTCTACTGTCAGCATTTACAGGTAGCTGTGTATTTCCAATGGGCAAAGGCCCAGCCTTAGACCACAGACTAAGAGATGCAGCCTTAAGCGATGGTGCAGGGACATTCTTATGCTGAATCAATGAAAATTCGAAACGAGACCGGCAAATTTAGGCTGGAGCCAACGGCAGATCTAGGGTCATTATACAAGGCCATAGCTTCCCAGAGTCCCTCTGTACAATGAACCTGCATGCATGGAAGCCAATGACAATAATGGTTTCTCTTAAATGTAATGTAGGTGCTCTTATAAAATCATTAATGCGTATTTTACATGTACCATTTTCTTAGGTTCACTTCAAATCTGAGTTTTAAAAAAATTAACGCAGACAAATGATGTAACTTCACTGATCAGACTATGCCCATCTGGCATTGCAATTAGCTCCGTTGAGTGATTGATAACTTTAAAAACCCTCAGTAACACTAAAGAGGTCAAATTACATGTACGAGGGAAACAGGTCATCACAGTTTAAATCCTGCGTAATTTCTGTCTGCTGTGGGAGGTTACACAAGGTTCATACACATGTCAGAATAAGATGCCCTGTGAGCAGTGTCACATCTTTTGTCCCCTGTCCTCGGGACAGGCAAAAATAACTTTGAACAAGCAGTTTTTGCTAGCAAAAAATTCAAAACCGCTTCACCTAACTCTTTAACGCTGGTGACCAAATCTTCACATTTCCTTCAAAAACACTGGCCGTAACGGAAATATGGATACTACTAAGGGGTAACAGTTTCAAAATTTCACTGGGAGTGGACAGGTTTTTTAACCTTTGTTAGGAAAGAACAGGCGGATAATGAAATCCTACATCGAGTGGAAACTGTGCTTGCGTGTACACTTTTCAATGTCCCAAGAACATGTTATGACCAAGTGATTGAGGGTGTTTTTATGAGGCGCAAGCAGTAAAATTTGATTGAATTCCTCACAAGCTTTGATATCGTACGCATCATTGGCTGATGGCAATCAACCAACGTGGGTTGTGTCCCCGCATTTTAGAAGCTGTGGAATGACCAATTGGCTGTTGCCTACAAGCCGGCCACCAACCACTGTTTGCTCACTGACCGCAAGTGACGTTTACACTCGGCAGAGGTTTTACTTCACCTACATGTATATGAATATAACCTACATGTACATGTATTACACTGAAAGGTACACATGCTTTATGGGAACAAACATTTTTAAAAACAGCTGTGACCAAATCTTGTTGGGCCAATATTTTCAAAGCCTTCCACTCACAGATGGATGTACATATTATGGTATAAAAACAATGGCATGATTCCAAATATATTACTGAAAAATATTAAGCCACACTGAGAGCCATTTTTATTTTTTCCCTTTCTTTTTTGAGTTTTTTTTTGTAAAATAGTCACAGGATTTTCACAATGTACAGTTGCTAAAATATTATATGCCCAGTTTATGAAGGTCAGTGAATTAAAGTTTGATGTGCTGGAAATGAAAAATGGCCGATCACCTTCACAACGGTAACTTGAGATTCCTAGTCACAGTTACAATTTTCTTTTGAATTCCAAGAACACATTGCGGTTCAAGCACAAACAGCAAACAAAAACATGTTTACGACTTCACAAATGGACCCCTCCATACTTTTACATGGAGCGTTTTCAAAATAAGTGGATTCAGCTCAGATTTTGATTTCGCTGGTTCCAGCTATTTTGAAGCAGCACTCCATACCACATGTTCAAGCTCTGACTGGAACCAGTGACACCGAAGTCTTAGCAGAATCCACTCATTTCAAAAGTGCTCATGTAATGTAACCTACAGCAAAAGCACCTCTGGAATCTGGTGGAATTAGCCCTTTTATGGAATCTTCATATTGGACCTGAAATTAGGCTCTACTTGCAATACATGGACTTTTGGGAAGCAACTGGTATGTACATGTACTGCACACACTTTGCTGACTTAGTACATAAGAAACATATTCCAGTGATCAAAGCCTGCCAGCCTATTTTCTTATAACTACTACATGAGAACCTATCCTAGAGGGTAGCGACAG